TGGCAGTTCAAACCCACCAGCCACTCCTCGGAAGGAAGGTTGGGCAATCCTACTTCCGTAGTGATACTGCCTCGGAAACCCGAGGAGGGGTCGCTATGAGTCAGGTATGACTCGACGGCACATAACAACAACAACAACAATTGTGGTAATTGGTATTTGAGAATGAAGTAGCAACTGAAAGAAAAGAAAGAGACAACTCAAAAAAAGACTTCTGCTTAGTTACTAACAATGTAACTAATAATGTAATGCAGTGTAGAAAGATTTTACAAAACAATTTTGTTGTTAGATTACTTATATATTCTATGAAATACTGCGTTTAAGCAATTTAGAAACATATTTATCACATATTATTCCATGATTAAAATTGATATTAAACATTACTGAGTATTCTGTAGGGTCTGCTACAGCAGGAGATCCGTGGGGGGAGGATGACACCAAGAGTTCCTGCACTGGGTGCCACTGGGTTTAGTTCTTTATAGCAGCTGCTGTTCCCCTGATTGCTAGGGTCAGAAGGTTGAGACTGCCTGAAAATTTCCCCAAAAGATATTCCCATATGAAAAATACATACAGGCATGATTTGAAGATCCATCCATCCATCCATCCATATGTCCAAATGTTCACCACTTGCACTTAATACTGTAGCTATCTAGTGGAGTCATACCATATGCATATATAATTTCCACAAATTCAAATACATGGGCTCAGCATACACAGAGTGGAGAGAGGAAAAGAGAAGAATGGGGAGAGAGAGAGAAGAAAAGACACACACACACACACACACACATACATATCCCCAAAAAGAACCTTTTCTGAAAGCAGAGGTGCCTTTTGCTTTGGACTTGGACCTGCTTAGTAAAGTGTAGCCTTTCATTACCATGACCACTCAAGGAAAGTAAGGAGGATCAAACCAGTTTCCTTAGGAAAGACAATTTCTTCTTCCTTTCCAAGTTATATCCATTGCATCTCCACCTAGAGATGGAGACATAGGCAAGGTGTCAGAAGAGACTTTCCTAGTCTCAGAATTGCTCATTAACATTTTGAAAAAGCAACCGTTATGTTGCTGAAATAAATGACCCCCTTGCGACCAGATGCACCAAATATTGTGAAGGGGAACCCTGTGGTGCTTGACTCACAAGCCCCCCCCCCCTTCCCTTAGTTCTCTCTTGATGGGAAGGGGTGTGAAGAGAGAACAGCACCTTTCTGAGTGTGAGCAGAGACGTTTCTGTACATTGTGCCTTTTATTCATTCTGGGGAGCAGTGTCACAGATTTCATTTCAAAAGTCACAGCAGAGTGCTGGAGTGGAGGCCTCTGGGGTAAGCTCTGGGCTGCCCACCTTCTAATGAAGGGCCACACTTGGCCAGATAAGTGAGGGGGGCAGGGAAGGGCTGGGGGG